AGAACAGAGTCGTCGCCTAACGCCCATCGGCTGTGTTTGTTGTAGTTTTGAAAGTCGGGATCCGTTTGCGGCCTCTGAAAGAAATAGCGAACCATTGCGTCGTCTTGAGATCGGTTGGAGTTTTGATTGTGTTTCTGATTGTGGACTGAGTTCTGCATATCGTTGGCTGCGATGACCACCGATTGTGCCGTCTGTCCATTAGTCAACATAACGGTGTGATGTGATGGCTGTGAGGGATGTGTCGGCCCCTGAGGGCTATGGCCGTGATTGTGATGACTGTGAGTGACTGACTGGGACTGACTGACCGTCGGGTGAAGTGAGTGATGGATCGGATTGTGGTTCGAGTGATGGCTGTTGTGATGGGAGTGTTGGTTGAGGTGCGGGTTGTGGTGATGGCTATGGCTCTGATTGGGTGCAAGCGATGGATGTCTCTCCTGTTGCCAAACAACTTCATTCATAGTTAGGTCTCACTATAGCGCACATGGATTAGATTCAAAGACAATCAATTAGTCCTGCAATCAATACATCGCTCCCAAAGACTATCACTTCAATTGGGCAGACAATCGACTCAATACAACACACATCGAGTCAATAGCGGCCATCGATTCAAGCGATATGTCATAAGAGGGGCGAAGAAGTAGTGGTAATGCGAGTAATAAGAGTAATGAAAAACATGTTTACAATCAATTCAAATATAGTCACCATTTTTTGTAATGCATTTTAAACATCATTTCAAACATTCATATATTATAACCAAATTGAAGGCGAAGTCAATACACATTCACTTCAATCACAAACAGAAAGCAATTCAATCGCAACTCATATACCAATCAATACTAGATTTACAGACAATTAACGGTTACTATCAATACATCTAATGGTCAATACATAGACACCGAGTAATCAATAAAACTATTTACAAATCAAAATTTAATGTAATATTTATTTATAATATTTTACACAAAACTATACACACGGAGAGAGCGAGGAGTGAGAGAGAGAGAGACAGAGAGAGTCAATACATTTTAATGGCTTGCAGTCAGACATTCACTGCATTACCAAATGCTATGGAAATGCAATTCACACTTAAATGCAATGCTTTTAATGCCAGAGAATATGCGAACAAAAGAATAGCACAGAGAGTATGGAGAGAGTCATAGAGAGGGGGAGAGAGAGCGAGCGAGAGAGCTATATATAGAGACAGAGACAGCGCCGACCCATACATACAATGGCCGTACGTTAGCCCACACTCGCACTCACACACAACACACACCTCAACGCCTGAGTACAGAATACGGCGCGAGTTTGTTGACAATCGCTACGCAAACCCTATGCACGACGAGTACACCGATTTGTGGCACCGATACTAACATTTAAAAAACACTCGTGAATGCAGTGAATATCGCATTTCGCCGTATATTGTATGCTATACTCGAGTGTATGTACTCTAAGAGACCCACACTTACCGCACATGCAGTCCATAGTGAGTGTCAACCGGTGTTTGTGTCCAATAAGTGGTCATTAGTTGTCGTCTCCGATGAGAGACACAGACAGAGAGACAGAGAGAGAGAGGCGATGAGTCTGTGAGCCGACAGTCAGTCAAACATTTCAATCAAATATAAATACCGTTTCATTCATAACACAAATCCATTCATATATTATGTGACGCTTTTTGGACACAAACTTTTTGTCACCAATTTTTGTTGCGATCGCTTTTTAACAGTCAGTCAAACATTTCAATCAAATATAAATACCGTTTCATTCATAACACAAATCCATTCATATATTATGTGACGCTTTTTGGACACAAACTTTTTGTCACCAATTTTTGTTGCGATCGCTTTTTGCGGTGTTTTTCGTTGATTGCAAACAAAGTGTTTGGCAAACAATTAATGGTTTAGTTTTATGTAATTTTATTTAGTTATTAAGCGTTAAATTTAATGGCATTTAATGTAATCTTATAGCAAATACATGAATACCCGGCACTTATACTTACCATACATTTACTTTACATACCGTTTAAATCTAATCTAATAGAAAAGTTAATCAATTTATTTATGGATATGTTTGAAGCAAATATTTTACAGTTATTTGTTGTAATTAATATGTCTTTTAATTAAGTAGTAATTAATTAATTTATAAATAGTTTGTATGAAAATATGTGTAATTTTATGCTAAAACTGAGAATCCATGCGAAAGATGGCATTCATTGTATCGAAAGTAATAAGAATTTATGAAAAGAAGTTTTACAAACATTTGACTTTTAAATTATAAATATTAATTATAAATTTTATTATTTTTAAATTAATTAATTATTTATAATGGTTAATAAATTGAGTAAGCTGTTTATATATTATATTAAGTGAAACGTGATTAATTAATCTCACTAATTGAATGACCATGAAAATTCATTAGAAATTCTTAAAGGCAACACCTAGCAACTTTTTCCGGAATAACTAATTTAATGCATATCTCAAAACTTTATAATTTTATTACTGTGTATTAAAATTGTGGTTTTCTAATTATTAGAGTATTTGATCCTAAAATGTGCTAAAATAGCCATTAATTTTATCACTATCCAAATTTAGTCCCATATTCTGCCTCTTATTCCCATTACTTTTTTGTTTATTATATGATATAATGGGTATATTTTGTATCATATTTTTTCTAGACTTAATTTTTATTTAACTTTTAAAAATGTTATTATGCATTTTATCATATTCATTTGTACGTTAAGTATATTAATTTTAACCACAAGTCTATTGAAATAAGTTTATCCATAAGAATAACATTAAATGCATGTCTGTATAAAAGTAACTAGTATAACTATTGTTTTATATTTTTAATAAATGTAAGTGTTAAAATGAATTGAATTAAATATTGAATCATGTAATTGTTAATTTGATTGTAAATATAAATCTCGTGAACAAATTATTTAAAAATATTGACAAATTGTTATTTAAAATCGCAAAACAGTGTTATTAATCGAAATAGTATTTGAGATGTGTATGGGTTTGTTGATCGGTATTCTTGTGGTGATGACTGCAATCATAATAATAATTGAATCAGTTTTAGGCGGATATATATTATTTGCATATTTGCTCTCATTCTCTATTCGGTACTTAATTTTTGGTAATTTTGCCGAATTTGCAGTCGTTTTACTGTATATTATAATAATATCCTATTTGAAGAATAGCTAACCGCAGGATAATGACCGGGAGGAAAGGCCAATAAAGCTCTTTACCAAGAGTATACTCTACAAGTCAACACATAGTGAAAACCAGTATAATACGTATTGGCGAGTATTTTATGAAACGGGAATCGATTTGTTTGACGAGACGATAGTTAAGGAGATATACGTGTCTCACATGCGAGGCTATAATCCGAACCAAAGCTGTCGATTCGGTAGCGTTTGCTTCGAAGCGGCAAACTTTCATCGCATGAAGAAGTGCTGCGGATGGGAGTCCGCCAAAGACTATCAACTGTCGCACTGGAATGTCCGCCACAACGACTCCCAATCTTTGCCCAAATATTGCTGCAGTTTTTGGTACATTAAGTATACGTTCAATAACTGCACAATCGATTCGGACAATAAGTTTGCCAATGGATGTCGTTTTGCGATGAGAATGCTTATGCTCTGTAAGTTAGGGTAGTCAATATCCATACCTTAGCAAATAGGGTAACAGTTTCGGTACCGTCGTGAAGAGAAGTTTTAGCGGTTTAGGTACAGTAATGACGGGTCTCGACTCCCCATATTCTCCCACTCTATTCCCAAATAATGCATTGCATTTTCAAACTATTTATTTTATTAAATATCTTATTTGTCACAAAAATTTTATGCCGTTTTCAAACTTAAATAAAAGTCTTTTTGTTAAAATTGTTTGATGTATCAGAAAATAGATCTATTTATAGATTAATATTAAGAAATTACTGATGAAAAGAGATGTGAATTTGCGAATTGAATTCAATTCTTAAACATAAGTCCTGTATTTTATTGAATAATAGCCCGCATTTCAAGTATTGTGTGTATTAAAGGTTTGAACAGAAAATCTATTGATAATAACATTTGAACTAAAGATAGGAATCGATGTCTGGATATCGGATCTGAGTTTGCCTTTTGATTGATATATAATGTACTAATGAAACGAATACATCACTCGAAAACATTTATTCTGATTGCTTTAATCACTAATTTAGTGGAAAATACAAATAATAACACTGCATATGATAATAGGAGTTAACTTTATAATTAATTTAGATATTTAAAATGTTGTTTACCTCTTTATATTTAAATTTAAGTCTATATTTGAAGCGATTTGTAGGTTTGGAGCGAATGTATTTCGAGTAAGTGTCATAATCCCCACATGTAATGTATTTTTGAGATGTAATCCATTATAAATTTAAGAAATACTTATCAATTTTGAACTAAAATTAAAACTTTTCGCTCAAATGATACAAGAGATGGAAAATTAGTGTTAAGTTGTATTCGCTATAATTGTACGAAAAAACAAGAGACGAATAAAATAGCCGTTTGTGTCAATAAATCATTGCATCGATGGCTGAAAATGTGATCTCAGATGAGATCTATCATCGAAATAATCAGCGAATGATTAATTCGTGTAATTTATTGTCATTTTTGGACTTTAATTATGTTTCGATAATATGAGCGAAATGTTTCTCAAAGACTATGCATTTCCCAATGTATTGGTCGCGCAAAAAGTGATAAATCAAATGTTCAAATGATTTAAATCCATATAAATCTTATTCAAAGCTAAACGACTGATCGGAGAAGAAATAACAAAAATAGAGAGAAAATGACAAATAAATGATTGAATTGTGAACACAAAACAAAACTACATAATAATTGCCAACAATTTGTGCGGAAAATACATACAAAAAAAAATCAGTAGAAAATGATTCAAAAATAGGAATAATTTTCAGATTAATATTTAGCCTCTTTTATGGGGTTTTTCACTTGAATTTGTGGTTTTAGCTGAAAAATAATACATAATAATAATAACATAATCATATGACGGGAGTATTTTCACTAATGTTTTGCTTAGTTTTCTGGTCTATAAATATTTGTTCTGTATTTGAGCCAAAAATAAGTCTAGAAATAAAAGTTTAGATTAAAAGTCGTTATAAACGTTATAATCAATGCAAATGTTTACTTATGAGAAATATTTTTAATAGAAATATATTTATACATAAAAGAAAGACAAAAATTAATGGTATAATAAAATTACAATAATTTGAAAGTTTTTTGAGAACAAAATACATATTAAAATCATTTATTTAAAGAAATTAAAGTGAGGAGAAAATTAAGTTTTAAATACATTTTTGCGCTAAAACTTCTCATATGAAAATAAACACAATATTTTAAGAAATATTTTTCTACTTTTTTACTTCTTTAACTTATTTTCTGCGAAATATTCACTAAAACTTTAATTAAATGTGTGAAATGTGTAATATTTTTGTTTGCAAACGTCTGTCTGTGAATATGTATTGACAATCTATTTATACGAAACTCATTAATAGATGTGTTATTTGTTTTGAATGTGTATTTCATTTTGAAGAAGAGTTAATGACTTTATATGAGACACATTTCAGTCTATTCTTCATATCAGTCGAAATGTTTTCGCAATTTTTGTTGTTTTCTATTTTGCATCCAATAAAACCATTAATTTGTTTACATTTCATACAAATTAAAAAAGCAATAAAATATTCATAAAATATGATTTGTATTACAGTTAAGTGGACACAAATTTTGATTTAAAAATGAAACATAAAGTATTGTTTTTAGTTAATGAGATCGATATGAGAGAAATAGCGAGAAATAGATTAGGTTTTGAAACAATTATAATAATTATAATAACTATAGGTTTAGAAGAATTAGACAATTGTAATAATAGTTTAAAATTGAAATATAACTATACCTACAAATATAAGCATTTATAATATAATAATATCAATAATAATAATATACAAAATAACAGAACTTATTCTCAAAATGTATAGAGACTTATATAATAATGTATTTTCATTTTTAAACAACTTTTTTTACAATAACTTATTTTTTCGATATATTTGTCAACAATTTTACAAAATAAAAATATAGATAATAATGATTTGAATAATAATTAATTAATAATAATAAACAAAATAATAATATTAATTGCAAAATAATAATAAATTGTAGCATAAATTTGAACGTATTATGCATTCATAACATCAAAATATGACAATAATTATAAAAAACAGAAAAAGAGAGACAAATAATATATAAATGAATGATTTGTTTGGCAGTTATGTTAATATTTATAATAATAATAGAGTGTCTGTTGTCTTGTATGAAATTATCATCTTTTGCTTTTGTTTGATGAATATATTGTACTTTAAGTCAATAATTAAATATTGCTGTGAAATGTTGTCATCAAATAAAATATTTGATAAATATATTAAAGACATTCAAAAAGATAACACAAAACATAGAAAGAGAGAGAGAGAGAGAGAGAGAGAGAGAGAGAGAGA